ATACACTATGCAAGCAAAGAACTTTTTGAATGAGACTGCATTTGTGAATATTTTTTTATGAGAAAGTTAAGGAAAGGGCATTTCAGATAGATCCAGCCTTAGAACAAAGAAAGTGAACAACTTAAACAGAAGACAGTGAGTGAACAGGTTTGCCTAAAAATTTAAGGTTGTTAGAACATATTGGAGATAAAACTTAATAATACATTAAGTAGATATTTAGTCTGGTGAATGATTTGACTATTGAGTTGGTGAAAGAAGCAAGTAGGAGCCTTTAGTAGAAATCATCAGGATCAGTGAAGTAGCAGTGGTTGTGGTTGACAGTAGATTTTCCTTCTCAGCCAGGTCTCCTAAAGCAAAGTTGCATCAGGATGAACTGAAAGCACCAGAAAGATCGCAGCAGACAGCAATCATTGAGATCAGTGTATTCATTTTCTTCCTATTCACATTCTTCTCACTTCTCAGGTACAACAGTTCTTCATGGCACCTCATTCAACTTGTCCTCTGAATAGGGCAGAAGAGACATGAGGGACTTGGCAAATTTTCAAAATCATAAAAGAAATAACAGTGTACAGGAAGTAAAATATGATAGAAAGAATTAATTAAATCCTAAGATATATGTCTAATAGATTGAATTTCAGTAATTTTTATTGTTCTTTGGAAGAACTAAAGCAAGCATCACTGAAAAGTTAGAATTTAAATATCAGTTTTTCTGGCAGCACTTTAAGGGATAGTTCCACAGAGCATATGACTCATGACATTTAAGAGTGATCTCCAGACACAGTCTCCAATGGCCCCAGGACTCTCATTAAAATCTACATGAGACTGAGCTCCATTCCTTATGAATGGAAAAGACACCACCCTTTATGCTGTAGAACACATTGTCATTTCAGTCTCAGCGTGGACTGAGCAGGGAATTTTCAGGGACAAAGTGGTCTAAAACTTATTCTTGAATTATGCACATTAAAAAATCACAGGAACTTTAGGAAGCCATATGTGAGTTGTAGGACTGCAAATTCTTCCTACAACCTACTTACCTCTTGAACTTTAAGAGCACGGAAAACTACTCTTCCTCTGCAGAAGGTGGGAACTTTTGATTTATATTCCTCTATAAAAATAATGCTGTTTTATGCCTTTCATAACCAAGTACCAGTAGATATTAAGAGCTTGTCAGAGTGAACTGAAGAAAAAACGGATAAAATTGAGACAATTCTCTGTTACTGGAATAAGTATGATACAGAAAGCCATATGATAGATGATCTTAGAATAATATGCAAAACTCAAGTCAAAATTTTGTCGTGGAAGGAAGGGAGCTGGGAAAAACACATCAGTTAACATAGCATCTTTGTTTCCACTGTGAGCTTGGTCATTAGCAAGAATGAAAATATAACCATAGTGGTATAGTCTCTATTCTTCAGTAGTATGAAAAAAGCACTGTTGTTGTTGTTATGTGCCATCGAGTCGTTTCCGACTCATAGCGACCCTATGCACAACAGCTCTAAACCCTGCCCTATCCTGCGCTAACCGCACCGCCTCCGACACACCCATCCCGATTACCCCAGTCACCGAATCAATCCATCTCATCCTTCATTCATGGTTCTCACATTCCATGTACCAATCACTAGGGTCTGGTTTCCTCCTCCCTTGTGTTTCCATACTTGATGGTTCTACCTAGGTTGCCCTTTTTGTTAATCTGCGTGTGTTCTGTTGTGCATAGGGTTTTCAGAGGCCTGCTATTTCAGAAGTGGGTGGCCAATCCTTCTTCCAGCACTAAACAGAAAAATTAAAAAGTGGAAAATCAACTCACTTCCACTGACTTGATTCTGAATCACAGTGACCCTCTAAGGCAGAGTATACCTTCCTCACTGGGTTCCCAATACTGTGTATCCTTATGGAAGCAGACTTCCCCTTCTTTCTCCATGTGTGTTTGGTTCAAATTGCACACCTTTTGAACAATAACCCAACATTTAACCACTGTGAAATCAAGGTTCTTTTGCAGTCTATAACATACCAAGATATCTTAGAGACTCAGAGGCTTGCTAGAACTTGTGTGTAGTGTGGGTGAATAAACATTATTTTCCTAAAGTTCCTCTCATGATTTGATATACCCCTTGGAAGTTGGTTCATTTAAGTCGGTTTAATGTGGTTTGTCAAGGGTGTGCATTGAGTACGAAATTGATAATTTCTTTCTCTTATACTCTAAACAAATCATTGTTGGAGTTTTGAAAAATATTGTTTTTCTTATTCTTAAATTTAATTAAACAAATATATAGCGTTTATACATGTATTCACATTGCTAAGAGGCATTGATCTTGCCCATTTAATTTTTAAAATATAATGAAACTGTTTACTATCGTCAGAAAATTTCCTAACTAAATAAGTGCTAAGAAAATAGTAAACAGTGACATAAGGAGGATGTAGGAAGTTGCCCATTTTTCTGATACGGTTATCAATCTTTTTCTTGTGGAGGCCTTGTAGTATTCTGCAAACTTTTGTTATGAGACCTTTGTCTGAGATGGCATTACCAATTGCTTTATCCCCAGTCAGTAGACTTTCTTTTCACCTTATTGGGAAAAGTTTTTGGTGCACACAGATTCAATTAGTCTTTAGAGGGTCCCATTCATTGATGTTATCCTTTCCTAGTTTTGGATATCTGGCTGTATTTGCCAGTCCATTTATACCATAGGCTAGGCCTTCTAAGTTTGGTCCCATTTTGTCTCATGATCTTTATGGTTTTGGGTTTTACCCTTATGTCTCTGATCCACTTTGTTTTCATTTTTGTGTGTGGTGTAAGATATAGATCCTGCTTCAGCTCTCTGCGGGCAGCAGTCCCATTTTGCCAGCACCTTTTGTTGAAGAGGTTGTCGTTTCCCCATTTGATTGTTTATGTTTCCTTGTTGAAAACCTGTTGGCCGTAGGTAGATAGGTTAATTCCTGGGTTTTACCAGTACCATGTTGTTCTGATTATTACAGCTGTGTAATAAGTTTTGAAATCAGAGAGTGCTGTGCCTCCAACTTAATTTTTGTTTTTCCAAAGTACTTTACTTATTTGAGTTCTCTTTCCTTTCCAAATAAACTTGCCGTTTGCATTTTCTGTCTCTTTAACAAATGTGTATTGAGATTGCATTGAACATGTAGATTGCTTTTGTTAAGATTGCCATTTTCATCGTATAGAGTCTTATCCATGAACAAGGAATACTTTTCCATTTAGTTAAATCTCAACATTTCTTACAGTAGTCTCTTGTTGTTTCCATACAAATTTCTTTCTTAAAAGTATTTCATCAAAACAACTATGAGATATCATCTTACCCCAGTAAGAACAGCAAAATTTAACAGAACAACAGACATCAAATGCTTGTGAAGTTGTGGAGAAATTGAAACTCTTATTCACTGTTGGTGGGAGTGTAAAATGGTGCAACCACAATGGAAGGCTGTATGGCGCTTTCTCAGAAAGTTGCAAGTAGAAATACCATTTGAGCCAGAAATTCCACTTCTGGGAATATACCCTAAAGAAACCATAACTGCCACCCAAGAAGATATATGCACACCCATGTTTATTGCAGCTTTATTCGCAATAGCAAAGAGCTGGAAACAAACCAAGTACCCATCAACAAATGAATGGATGGAGAAGCTCTGGTATATTCCACAATGGAATACTACACTGCATTGAAAAACAAGGAACTCATGAAATATTATGCTAAATAAATTACCCTGGAGGACATTATGCTGAATGAAATATCTCAGTCAAAAAAGGACAAATATTGCACAGGGCCTGACATTGGGACTGTTGTAAAACAGGACTGACATCGGGGTTGAAGGAAGACAGAGAAGGAGGGGAGGGATGATGCATATTGCATTGAAACAGATGGGGGAGAGAACTGTTTAAAAAAGGATATATGATTGGGTATTATTGTCATTACAAGAGTCCAGAATGAAGGCTGCACAATGAAGTGGACCTGAGGGGAGGGATTACATAACAATGAAAGAGGTTTTTCTTTTACTTTTCAAGGAAAAGAGTGAATTGGGGGAAGGGACAGGCAGGGAAAAGAGTGCAACAATGAATAACTGGAAACCCTAAGTCTCTGTAAACTTTTATTAAAATTAATTAAAAAAACATTCCAGTATAAGAGCACTTTATAACTAAGACATACCAACTAGAAAGTGTTCTGAAGGTTCTGCTTAAATACAAGAAAATTCTCAAAAGTTTATCAGAATATGCCATTTGGGAATTAACTATCTACAAAATAATTTTACTCCGAGATCATCTGTTTTATTGTTTTGGGGATTTGGAAACTAACATCAATATAAAGTTCTTAAGAAATTTAAAATCATTGCTGTGTAATGAAGTATTGATAATGTGTATGACAAACTAATTTTTACTATGGGTAAATAAATCAGAAGTTATATAAAGTTAAATTCATGTATATGGTCTACTTATTGTTATATTGGTCACACAGTTACGGTATTGTAAACAGAATCTATGAAGATAGTATTCAAATGTCATAAAGCTTTCAGAAATGTTGGCTCATTTTAGCTATAATGTTTTAAATGTTATACTGATTTCATCCATGCAATCAGTTGTTTACTAAACACTCTTGAGAGCTAAGCTACATAAGATCACATGAAAGATGTGAATTCTCAATGGGTAATGACACACTTTTTTCATGTTTTCCCCTTTTTATGCAAATTCTGATTGTAAAGGAGCAGGAATACTTAGGTGAATGATATCTGAGAAGATATTTGGACTCCATGAGAAGGTATTTGTACTCTATAGTAGTTATAACAGATTTTTCTACTAGAATCTTTATTCTCCTCACTCAGATGCCTACCTAAATCAGCTGCAACTACATTTGTTATCTTGGTCTCTCATATGAAGAATTGTCTTATTCTTATTTTGGAACCAGTAGAACTTTATCCCAAAGGATTATTTAAAATCATCTCAACATCTTGACTTCAATAACATTTGCAGCTCATACGAGAGATTTCCTGAGGCTTTCAAAAGAATGGACAATCAGACAGCAGTGACCACATTCCTTCTGTGGGGATTTTCCAGTTTCCCAGATCTACAGCATCTCCTCTTTGGGGTGATTTTCATCTCTCATGTGATCATTGTGGCCTCCAATATGTCCATAATGATGGCTATTAAGTTCAGTCACACCCTTCACACACCCATGTACTTTTTCCTCTGTGGTCTTTCCTTTTCAGAAACCTGTACCACTATGGTAATCATCCCCCGAATGCTAGTAGATTTACTGTCACACAGCAAAACCATATCTATTTCTGAGTGTGCTACACAGATGTTTTTCTTTTTTGGCTTATCATCCAACAATTGCTTCATCATGGCCGCCATGTCCTATGACCGTTATACTGCCATCCACAACCCACTGAACTACCACATGCTGATAACCTGCAGTGTTTACTGTCAGCTGATGATGGCCTCTTTTGTGGTTGGTTTCTTGGTTTCTCTATGCGTTGTCATCATCGTATTCAACTTATCATTTTGTGATTCCAATACCATTGAGCACTTTTTCTGTGATATCTCACCCATAGTCAGCCTTGCTTGTGATTACTCTTCTATTCATGAAACAGTTATTTTTGTGCTCTCTGCCTTTGTGCTAGTGGGAAGCTTTATTTTGATTATGATTTCTTATGTCTTCATTCTGTCCATAATTGTAAAGATGCCCTCTGCAAAGGGGAGGCATAAAGCTTTCTCAACTTGCTCTTCCCACCTCTCTGTTGTGTCCATACATTATGGATTTGCTTGTTTTGTCTATTTGAAGCCCAAGAACAGTGTATCATTTTGTGAGAATATGTTAATATCTGTGACATATACAGTACTGACACCTCTGCTTAATCCCATTGTTTACAGTTTAAGAAATAAAGAAATGCAGATAGCTCTACGGAAAGTAATGGGCAATGTAAATAGATTTCTTCCTCTTCCATAAAGAAGTAACTAAAATAGTAAATAAAATAATTCTGAACTTTTTTTTATTGTTATTTGAGTCAAAGGGAGCTCTGGTGGCCTAGTGGCAAGAAGCTGTACTGCAATCCTGAAGGCACATAGTTCAGGGTCACCAGCCCGTGTGATTAACTGCCTCTGAAAACCTGCTGGAGGGTCAGCTGTGGGTCACTTACGAGTCTACAGTACACAACAACAACATTTAAGTTAAAGTTTATAAGAAAATTGATTTTTCACTCAACAATTCATATGTTGTTGTTGTTGTTGTTCTGTGCCATCGAGTCGAGTCACTTGTGACTCATAGCGACCCTATGCACAGCAGCCCTAAACCCTGCTCTATCCTCTGCCAATCGCATATACATTACATTTAATGCCATTAAAATTCCCATACTCTAACAACACTTTCCCTACTTCCTCCCTGAGTTTTTCATTTCCATCATCCTTTCTCACCCCTTCCTGCTATTTTAGCTTTAGCCTTGAGCAAATGTTGTTGTTCTAAGCCACTAGTTTGTAGCTAATTTTTATGAGAGCGTTATACATGTGACATTCACATAACATAGCTCAGCCATTTTAAAGTGTATAGCTTAGGTGGCCTAATCCATAGGGAGTAACACTGCTAACTCAAAATACAGCTGTTCACTTACACCAGGTGCTCCACTGGGGAAAAAGATAGACAATCCCCTCCTGTGTGTTATGCAGATTACACAACCTTATTTGCTGAAAGTGAGGAAGACTTGAAGCATTTGCTGCAGAAGATCAAGGAATGCAGCCTTCGGTATGGATTGTGACTCAATATAAAAAAAAAAACAAAGATTCTTACCACTAGACCAATAGGCAGTGTCATGATGGATGGAGAAGAGACTGAAACTGTCAAACAGTTTCATCTTGTTTGGATCTACAATTAAGACCCTTGGTACGAGCAGTCAGGAAATAAGGAGATGCATTGCACTGGGAAAATCTGCAGACCTTTCCAATTATTGAGGAGTAGTAATGTCAGTTTGAGGACTAAGTTGCATCTGATTCAGGCCATAGTCTTTCCAATTACTAGCTATGCATCCGAGACCTGGAAAATGAATAAGGGTGACAGAAAAGAATTGATGCCTTTGAGCTGTTGTGTTGGAGAAGAGCACTAAACATCCCATGGATGGCCAAGAGAACAAATAGATATGTCTTGGAGAGGGTGCAGCCAGAGTTCTCTTTGGAGGTGATAAGGCTTCACCTCACATATTGTGGGCATATTGCTGGGAGGTGTTATTCCTTGGAGAGGAACATGATGTTGGGAAGGGGGAGGGTCACAAAAGAGAGGAAAACCCAGACAAGGTGGATTGACACAGTGACTGCTGCAGTGGGCTCTTGTGTATCAGGAAGTGTGAGTATGGTACAGGACAGGACTGGGTTCTGATCTTTTGTTCATAGGGTTGCTATGAATCGTACTCGACAGCACTTAACAGCAACAACAATCCCCTCTCCCCAAGCAATGCACAGCCTCAGACACCCAATGAAGGGTCAACTGTGAGTCAGTTCTGACTCAACAAAAATGAGACAGTTGAGTTGGACAGCCATTGCCTCTAGTTTCAAATATCTAGTTCCACAATATTTTCAACATCTCAAAAAGGAAACTCTGTATGGATCTGAGTAATCATTCTTTATTCCCTCTTGTTTACAGTCATTTTAAACTACCTCTTTGCTCTCTGTCTCTCTATAAACTCACTGCTATGGAGTTGATTCTGACTCTTGGTGTTCCTGTTGTTTCCAAGGCCTTATGTTTTTACATGAGTAGACTGCCTGTCTTTCTTTCATGGAATAAGTGTATGATAGAATCAAATTTCTCACCTTCTTTTCAGGATGTTTTAGATACTGTAAATCATAAAGTATGTGACTTTTGTGTGTGTGTTTGACATATTTTACTTGACATAACATCTTTTAACATTTATCCATGTTTTAATAAGTATCTTTTAGTGGCTGAAGACTATCCCGCTGTGATAATATTCTGTGTATTTGGCTATTGCGAATAGTCTGTTATGAACATTTGTATATACATATAAATTTGAAAATCTATTTTTAGTTTCTGGAGATTAATATTTAGGCTTAGAATTTCTTAGTCATATGATAATTCTATATTTAACATTTTGTCAAACTGCCGAACTGTTTTTGACAACAGCTACATTCTTTTATATTCACACCAACATTGTATGAGAGTTTCAATTTGTCCACATCTTAGTTGAGACATGATTTTGTTTTAGTGTATTTGTTTTTTTAATTGTCTGGTCAACTTATTTGGCACGAAGTGGTAATTAATTTTGCATTTTCATTGTATTTCACTAATGATTCATGCTATTAAGCACTTTTTTGTGTGCTTAATGGACTTTTGTACATCTTTTTTTGATAAATATATATTAAAGTTCTTTGCACATTATTAATAGGATTGTTTGGGTTTTGTTGTTGTTCTTCAGTGTTGTTGTTATTAGGTGTCATCAAGTCAAGGATGACTGATAGTGACCCTATGAACAAAAGATCTGATCCCTGCCCTATTCTGCACCATCCTCACACTTCCCGACACACAAGAGCCCATTTCAGTAGTCACCATTGACAGTTGAGGGTCTTAATCTCCTTTGCCAGTCCTCCACCTTTCTCAGCATCTTGTCTTTCTCCAAGGAATAGCACCTCCTAACAAACAACATGTCCAAAGTATGTGATGTGAAGCCTCATCATTCTTGCCTCCAAAGAGCACTCCAGCTGCACCCTCTCTGATACATATCTGTTCATTCTCTTGGCCATCTATGGGATGTTTAGTGTCTTCTCTAACACCACAGCTCAAAAGAATCATTTCTTTTTCTGTCATCTTTACTCACTCTCCAGGTCTCAGATGCATAGCTAGTGATAGGAAAGACTATGACCTGAATCAGATGCATCTTAGTCTTCAAACTGACATCACTACTCCCCCTCAATAATTTGGAAAGGTCCCTAACTGTAGATTTTCCCAGTGCAATGTGTCTCATTTCCTGACTGTTGGTATCAAGGGTGTTAATTGTAAATCCCAAGCAAGATGAAATTGTAGACAATTTGAGTCTTCTCCATCCATCATGACACTGCTGATCAGTCCAGTGGTAAGAAGCATTGTTTTCCTGCTATTGAGATGCAATCAATACCAAAGGCTGCATTCCCTGATCTTCTGCAACAAGTGCTTCAAATCCTCCTCACTTTCAGCAAGCAAAGTTGTGTAATCTGCATAATGCAGGTTATTGATGAGTCTCCCTCCAATTCAGATACCTCCTCCTCATAGAGTCTAGCTTCTCAGATAATTTGTTCGGCATACAGGTTGAATAGGTATGGACAGAGAATACAACCCTGATGTACTTCCTTCCCAATTCCAAACCATGCAGTGTTCCTGCTCTGTTCACACAACAGCCTCCTGATCCAAGTATAGGTTCCACATGAGCAAAATAAAGTGCTCTGGGATTCCTATTCTCAATGCCAGCCACACTTGTGCTTATCTAAGACTTATCCATGATTTGCATGACATCCACTATTTTCTTTTTCATTGTATAGATTATCTCTTCAGTTACTTGCTCAAATTCACTAATGCACAGAAGTTTTACATTTTTATAAAGTACAATTTATTTTATTGTTTTATTATTTGTACTTTTGGTATTGTATATAAGAAATTATTTTTAAGTCCAAGGTTATGGTCATTTGTATCTATGCTTTCCTCCTAAGAGTTTTAAATATTGAACTTTTATTTTAAGGCTTTTATCCATTTTTATTTTTTAACATGATGTTAAAGAAATGCCTAAATTTATTCTTTTGTAAATGGGTTACTTCAACACTATTTGTTGCATATACTTTCCCATTAAACGATATTGGTATCTCTGTGTAAATACATTCACTCATAGAGGTCTGAGTTTATTTCAGGATTCTTAATTGTATTTTACTAATTT